TCAGTTGGTGGAACCAGTCAAGCGCACCTCCTCGTAAGGTCGACAAGAAGGCCCTGGAGCTGACCGGATCTGAGTATCCATGTAAGACGGACATCTTTTCGAATGCTCTCACGTGCCTCGACGGGTCACTCGATCCATCGAAAATCAGGTTTATCTCCCGAAAACTTGCAGGTAACGGCGCAGCTAGAATTTCCCTCGAGAATGGGTGTCCTCGAGCACGTCTTTCTGGCCTCCCTTCCACCTTCTCCTGCAATTGCCTCAGCTGTTCGGCCATCCTCTCCATAGCTCTATCCCTGTACTCCCCTCCTCCGCCATAGCTCGACCATCCTCCTCTTGTGTTCCCTGCACCGTTGTCGGTGCAGTGGCAGCCTGGGATGTCTGGTGAGTAGCTTGTTGCACAGCCTGTGCCGCCGCGTCGGCCACCATCCTCTGCACTTCTTCTCTTGTCATGGCCACCACTTGTTGAGCAGGGGGTTGTGGTACTCCTCCTGTTGGCGGCACCATGGTTTGCGTTATCAGCCCTGCTTGCTGCATCGCGACCGGGCCCGCATGTAATGGGGCGGGGACTGCCGTGGGTACCGCTTCACGAGCCTCGTGTTCTCTGCTCGTACCTGCTCCTCCTCCCAAGATCGCTGTACCCTGGGGCATCGGCGTCGGGGTAACCGGTGTTTGCGAGGGTCTAGAGAATCAAGGTGGAGGTCCTGCTCCCATCGGTCTTGTCGTCGTCCACGCCTCGTCAAATGAAGACTGCAGATTCACTCGAGGAACTCCGTCCGCCATAGCTGAGCTCAGAACACAACTTTTCGAACAAAGTCCCACAGACGGCGCCAATAATACAAGTCTCGCACCCTGCCCGGCTGGAATTCGCCTTAATCTTGCTCTCCTCGCCGGTTGGACGCGGAACCTGCACGAAACTCCCACACCGGAGATGTTTTCCGGTGAAGAGCCTCCAACGCTCAAATCAGATCTTGAGAGATAATATCAGTGTATAGAAAGATGTAAAGTATATCAGATTGTGTCGAAAATGAGGATTCTCGCCCTTATTTATAAGGGCGAGTTACCTGTATTACACGCGCGAGGAGAGTGCGTTCGTCTAACCGTCCTCTGCTTGTCCGTACGGTCGCGCGCCTCCACTACCCATGATGTCAGAGAACGCGTCGCCTTTGTCAGGGAATGTCAGAGTTGGTTACGGCTGTCAACCACTCACGTTCTGCCGCGTGTCCCTTCTTTCACGTGCTAAAGTTTCCGGTGCGCCCCGCTGTTCGACCAATTTTACACGACCACGCCCTCTGTGGTCGTCCTTCCTTGATCGACTCCTCGAATAACTCATACCTGTCGACCAACTCTAATCTTCTTAGTTCCTGCTATTCTCTCCGTTCTTCACAGTAGGTCTCTGGTCTTGATCGACCATATTGTTCGACCTGTTCTTGCTTAGGTAATACGACTAATCAATTTATCTTCCTTGATTAGCCTTGCGGACCGGTCTTGTAATATCCCGATATTTTATCGGTATAAATTACGTTTTAGTTCCGATATAATAACGTTATCGTTTATTATTTTCAGAATTAATTATATTCAGTCGGGATTACCGAAATTATTTTCGACGTACCGTTTACGTTCGAAATAATTTTAGTAATTAAGCATTATGTTTAATTACATAATTAAACATCCATTGAGTGATTAATTTA